AAAAACCAGAGAAAATACGGAAAATGTTGTATCTACTTTTTGCACCAGGCGAGGAGGTTCCTCGCCATCTTAGCTGTCACACATCTCGCATTTCCCAACATATTTGCAGGTTACTACTCGTTCCTATGCGACGCGGGCCACGCGTAGAAGTCGATGACAGCACATCACAAAGTGCGACCAAACCAAAGATCTACACACATGCAAGAGGCATTTCTCACTCGATACAAAATGTGTATTTAATATTTTTCAGAATATTCTCAGGTTTTTACAATACCACCTGCAAACTGCACATAAACGTTTATAGACTATTTTATTCAGAGAACAAAGAAAGTATGGCCAAGTAAAGGTTAGTCGAAAATATGGCTAAACAGCAGCCTATGCAGAGCTTAGCTCTGCTGCGGAGGTTCACGTCTACACTGCTAATATTATGCCATGTTATCTGCAGTAATGTGTTGGCAACGAGTGATGTTTGTGTTGACATAAAATAGCCAAGGTTTTGGAATGATATGCTTAGTGACTGAGCAACATTTTCTCTGATTGCAGACCGAGAATAGAGGCCACAGTAATCTAGGCCAGAAGTTTGGAGAAGGACAACATGGATTTGGAGAAAGATAGGCTACTTCTGCCCAATGCTCGGTAAGGAGAAAGACATCTCAAGTAAGTCTATTTCATATTAATTTGGAAGTGAATGTCAGATGAGGCCCAAATAACTTGAGTGTAACAAACAAACATTTCAATCTACACCAAATGTAAATGTGACGTTTCTAAATTGAGGATTATAACTTCAATACACTTTATTGTTCTTAAAACATGAGACACGTTGTACAGACAGAAGAACACAGTGAAGACAAGATTATTGACAAATAAAAAAATAAGTGTAAGACAAAAACAATGGAATAGGCTGTGGAATATAGGTCCATTATGTTATGGAACATGGGTCCATTATGTTATGGAACATGGGTCCATTATGTTATGGAACATAGGGTCCATTATGTTATGGAACATGGGTCCATTATGTTATGGAACATAGGGTCCATTATGTTATGGAACATAGGGTCCATTATGTTATGGAACATGGGTCCATTATGTTATGGAACATGGGTCCATTATGTTATGGAACATAGGGTCCATTATGTTATGGAACATGGGTCCATTATGTTATGGAACATAGGGTCCATTATGTTATGGAACATAGGTCCATTATGTTATGGAACATAGGGTCCATTATGTTATGGAACATAGGGTCCATTATGTTATGGAACATGGGTCCATTATGTTATGGAACATAGGGTCCATTATGTTATGGAACATAGGTCCATTATGTTATGGAAAATAGGTCCATTATGTTATGGAAAATAGGTCCATTATGTTATGGAACATAGAGACACATTCACAATTTGGCAACAATGCAACTCAACAATGACAACCACACAAAATATTTGTATATTATCATTACGTCAAAAACTAAATGTTTGAAAACAATTCCAGGTGGTCATGATGAGAGAATGTCGCTTGATACTGTAAATATTTTCTTTTTATAAAAATAAACATGTCCCATGCTTTATACTCATTATATACTCTTAAAATATACGTTTTTGCTATTAGTTTTCTAAGGAACATAACTACTATAAATGATACGGTACAGACATGTTTTCTCTTTTTTTACAAAACGGTGAAGAATTCGGAACCAATCTTCACATTGTCAGTTAGTGTGATAATTAAAAAGTGTTTTCCAGGCTCACAAATATTGCAACTGTTTTACAATATTTACATCTCGAGTGTAGAATAACACAACTCCGCATAAAGAATTTCCATTGCAAAACATTATTGGCATAAGTAGCCTACTCAAATCTTTGTGGGTGTATATTCTTTCTTTGTCACTTCATAAAACTAGTAGTAACACAGTATCTGGTAACTTGACCGTTTCTGCTTCTTGTAACTCCAAGAATAAAGGTATAATTGGGGAAACATGCAAGACAGTAGTGCAGTGAAAGAAGCCACATGGCCTGGTATGAATCGTATCCTGTCAGAGTATAACAGTTGTGGTCTGAATAGTTTCTGTTTCTGTTGAGGTTAGCTATAGGCTGCTTCGATCTCCGTGGTTTGACAACAGGATGAGACAGAAAGACGTTTTCAGACGGAAAACACAGGTGTTAGCTTTATTAAAATACATAGAAAACTACTTTGTGTGTATGTTAGTGATTTTTTTTTTAAATATTTCCTGTATTGCACAATGGATAACAGCACATAGAGAGAGCAAAATGTATAACCCCATTGAATTGTTTTGACACACAATCCTGAACAATGATTGTAGAGGAGAATATAGCAACTTTAATCTTTTATAAGATGAAATAGTTTATAAAACTGAAGGTGTATGTGGAGTTTGTTTTCTAGCGCAGTGTTCAGTGGACTGAATGTAAACAAAACATGAACTTAGATCATGTGTGAGCAGGAGTAAATGCTGTAGGTTGTGCAAAAGTCTAAGGCTAAGCTTGCTAAAGTGGATCTCCCATTTACCTCACCTCGTTTACAAGAGGTGGGGGTGCCGGTTTAGTGTGGATTGTGATCGTTGTGTGTGAGGGTGTGTGTACTGTGTGTGTGTCTCTAACCAAGACAGAAATATGAGGTTGACTATACTTAATACTGCAGAGCGGGGCAGCCTTCCTTTCCTTCATGAAGAACATCCATCCTACCCAGCTGATTGGTTAGCGTTTCTGCTACATCTGCCCCAACTAGGTGTTCCATGCCTGTGGTTCTATTCTACAGGTGAGTAAATAGGCCCCATGTCTGTTTTATATCAACTCAATTCAAATGTGTGGATTTTACAATCACGCAGAGGTACAATTTCCAACATTGTGAATGTGATGTACACTACCGGTCAAAAGTTTTAGAACACCTACTCATTCAAGGGTTTTTCTATAAAAAAAAAAACTATTTTCTACATTGTAGAATAATAGTGAAGACATCAAAACTATGAAATAACACATATGGAATCATGTAGTAACCAAAAAAGTGTTAAACAAATCCAAATATATTTTATATTTGAGATTCTTCAAATAGCCACCCTTTGCCTTGATGACAGCTTTGCACACTCTTGGCATTCTCTCAACCAGCTTCATGAGGTATTCAACTGGAATGCATTTCAATTAACAGGTGTGTCTTCTTAAAAGTTAATTTGTGGAATTTTAGCTAATCAGTTGTGTTGTGACAAGGGGGGGGGGGGGTATACAGAAGATAGCTCTATTTGGTAAAAGACCAAGTCCAATTTATGTCAAGAACAGCTCAAATAAGCAAAGAGAAAAGATAGTCCATCATTACTTGAAGACATGCAGGTCAGTCAATCTGGAAAATTTCAAGAACTTGCAGTCGCAAAAACCATCAAGCGCTCATGAGGACCGCGACAGGAATGGAAGACCCAGAGTTAACTCTGCTCCAGAGGATAAGTTCATTAGAGTTACCAGCCTCAGAACTGCAGCCAAAATAAACGCTTCACAAAGTTCAAGTAACAGACACATCTCAACATCAACTGTTCAGAGGAGACTGTGTGAATCAGGCTTTCATGGTCGAATTGCTGCAAAGAAACCACTACTAAAGGACACCAATAATAAGAAGAGACTTGCTTGGGCCAAGAAACACGAGCAATGGACATTCGACCGGTGGAAATTTGTCCAAATTGTAGATTCTTGGTTCCATCCGCCGTGTCTTTGTGAGACGCGGTGTGGGTGAACGGATTATCTCCGCATGTGTATTTCCCCTCGTAAAGCATGGAGGAGGGGGTGTTATGGTGTGGGGGTGCTTTTGACACTGTCTGTGATTTATTTTAAATTCAAGGCACACTTAACCAGCATGGCTACCACAGCATTCTGCAGCGATATGCCATCCCATCTGGTTTGGGCTTAGTGGGACTATCATTTGTTTTTCAACAGGACAATGACCCAACACACCTCCAGGCTGTGTAAGGGCTATTTTACCAAGAGGGAGAGTGATGGAGTGCTGCATCAGATAACCTGGCCTCCACAGTCCCCCGACCTCAACCAAATTGAGATGGTGTGGGATGAGTCGGACCGCAGAGTGAAGGAAAAGCAGCCAAAAAGTGCTCAGCATATGTGGGAACTCCTTCAAGACTGTTGGAAAAGCATTCCAGGTGAAGCTGGTTGAGAGAATGCCAAGAGTGTGCAAAGATGTCATCAAGGCTATTTGAAGAATCTCAAATCTCTTTTTTGGTTACTACATGATTCCATATGTGTTATTTCATAGTTTTGATGTCTTCACTATTATTATACAGTGTAGAAAATAGGAAAAATAAAGAAAAAACCTTGAATGAGTAGGTGTTCTAAAACTTTTGACCGGTAGTGTATGTGATATTGTTTAGGTGCAGGTCATGACATTGTCCGGATGACCAACAGAACGCATTGTGTGACAACAGTTAGAAAATGTAACAAACAAACACTACTAACCCAGGCTTTGGACTACCTAATTCACAGATTTCGCTACTTTGACGTTTTCTCTGCGGTATTTTTGCCCAGAGCACATTAAAAATGTCTGAAGATTTATTGTAGATGTATTACTCTTTATATTTGTTATACTCAATTTTATATATTATTTTCATTAGTTTTCTTCTCCACAAAATGGTATACTTTGCTAAAAGATACAACTCAAATATACATAGAAAAGAATGAGAAGGAATTTTGAAATGTGAGAGTTGACAAGGAGGAGTGGTTAGCCCTGTTTTCACCCAGCATTTCAGAGGTGTAGGTCCTTGCACCTTTTGTACAGCGGTGCCCAAGTGTCTGTCTCTTATTCTAGAACACTACAGGGCCATTCTAGGCTGCAACTACCACAGCCCCTGTAAACGCATAATCGAGCAGTTGCATTGCGATTTTTGCTGAGGATGGATCATTGCATGTCCTGTAAACAATAAATAACTAATGGGCATTGAGAGCCACCCACACTCCCAACTGTCATATATGATTATTCACTAACTTCCCCCTGCTTTGTCTCTACTGGGTGGGCAGGGTTTTGATTGGGCGAGAGAGGGAGCCCATGTTAGTGGTGGGTGTAGTAACTTGGGGACTCACGCTCTTGTTAGGCAGACTACTGGAGTGGCCCATCGCCTCCTCGGCTGCACGCAACAGCAAAGTGTAATTGATAGCAACCTCTTCAACCTTTCGCAGCAGCTGCAGCCTTTGGGGCTCTGAACGCACCCCTCTAACCAGCTTGATGAAGGTCTGAGTCAGTTCGCAGAGGACCAGGAAGCTGGCCGTAACAACGCTCAGCATGCGCGTGGGGCTCTTCTCAACGCTCGCCACCCTCCTGCACGCCGCCCTGAACTCCTTGAAGCGCACCGCCAGCTCCTGCTTGTACTCGGCGATCCGGGACGGCTGGAGGCGTGATTCGTTAGCCACCTGGGGAATGTTAGCGCATTGTCGCAGGATGGCTAGCAGCTCATTAGCATCCAGCTGGGCATTGAGGAAACCGTCCGGCAGGCTGAACGTCTTCCCTTGAAGGAACTGAACCCTCGCCAGGCTCCCCTCCAGAGTCCCGCAGGCCCGAAGGTCGATTTCCTGTGTCTGTGGCTCCTCTTCTTCTTCTTGCTCTACTTCTTCCTCCTCCCCACTGCAGCCCTCAGCGTGGAGGACCTGGAGCGTTTTGCTGATGACGGGAAAGGTCTGAGAACCCAGCTGCATCCCGGGCAGGACCTGGAGAGGGATGGAGTAGGAGAGCTCTTCTTTCTCGCTGCTCTCGTCCGCCGCCTCACACTTCCTGTAGCAGAAACAGAAGGAGCAGCAGTTCTCCCTGTCTTCAGTGTCCTCACTAGGCAGCCCCAGCAGCACCTCTGTCGGTGCCCCCTCTTTGCTCTCCCGCAGCAGCTCTTCTCCCTGGATAAAGAACACTCCTTTCATCCCCTTCGCCTCTGCAGCAGCCGTTTGAGTTTGAGTTTGAGTTTGATTGTGAATGGGCTCCACGGTTGTTGGAAGCCTCAGTCCTGTGGCCCTCACTCGCTCCATCTCCTTCTCCAGGCTCTTGGCTTTGGGTTTGACCTCGGTGTACAGCTGGGTGCCTTCAGCGTTGTCCACCTCCCCGATGCTATACCGCCTCTGGAGCTTCTTGTACTGCGGGGCGCCCATGCAGTCTGATGTGCGGGAGGTGCAGGTGGGCAAGCAGGAAGCCTGCTCCCCCCTGGGTTCCCGCGACTCCAGACTGGTCGAGCGGATTCGGGTGGTCTTGATCTCTAAGGTCTGAGGTCTCCTCGGACCTCCCTGGGGGTGAGGGGTTTTGGAGGTCGCTGGAGGGATCTTGGAGAGGGGTCTCTCTCTGCCTCTATGCTGCTGTGTCTCTGCAGTTGAGCCGCCCGGTGTATCGGGCAGTCGGATGCCTCTACACATCCTCTTGCAGTCGCAGCTGCGGCGTTGCTCTCGGGAGATGCCGGGGGCTTTTAGCACAGGACTTGTAAGGAGCTGGCAAGCACATGGGGTGCATGAGGGGACTGGCGAGGACCCCTGGGGTAGGTACTCGCCCCCGGACGACTTGGGCTTCAGAAGTTCTTCCAGGAACTCTAACTCGTACTGCCGGACCTTCTGGAGCTGGGCTCGGCGCTCGTCAGTCTCCCGCCGAATCCGAGCTGGGAACGTGGCCGACAGGAGGTTCTTGATACTCAGGAAGGGGACGCTATGCTGGGCCTTCCCTTTACCGCCACCCTGCTTCTTGCTGTCGACAGATGGGAGAGTGGAGACCTTGTCCACAGAGCAGGTAGGGTGTGTGGGGTCTCCCAGGAGAGGTAATGACTTCGGGGGGCATTTCTGTGGCTCAGCTTGAGCTTTACCCTGGGACCTCTCTGCCTTGGCCTCTGCTGCTTCCTTCCTCTCAGCTTTCACAGGCATGTGTGGGGACTGGGAGTACTTGGTTGAGACCTGGGGGCTGGGCTTGGCCAAGACGGGGTCTGCTCCTCCTCCTCCTGCTGCTCTTGCTGTGCTCTCTTTGCTGCTGGCCAGTTGGAGGCCTTTGGCATGAAGACGCTCATCATCTGTTGGGGAAGAGGAGTGGAATACCACCACCTTCTGGGTATGTGGATCATTCAGTCTTAGCTGTGGCCCGGGTTCTCTAACTGGGCACGTGCAGAACAGGTCATCAACTGGCAAGAGTTCTTTAGCGCTTGAAGGCTTGATGGTCTTGCTAGAGGCAGTCTCGGCATCTTGGCACATATTCATGGGGCAAATCTTGGCGGAGGCAGTTCTGTCCACAGGCAAGAGAATGGGTAAGGCTTTGTTGGTAGGGTCCGGGCTCAGAGGCGCAGACTTCTTCCCCTTGACCCCCACAGAGAGATTCGGGCTTAGTTTGCCCACAGCAGAACAGGGCGACCTTTGATCCTTGCCGACCTTGGGTGCCTGCCCTGGATCTGAGACTTTCAGCTCCTCAGGTGACTTCACAGGGCGGTCTGGGGTGCACGCTTTGGTGGGCTCTGGTTTTTCCTTCTTGCATTCACTCGGCTCACTCTGCGTCGGGTCTTGGGTAACATTACTCCCCTGCTCCACTGGGCTGAGACCTGGACTGGCAGTGTCCTGTCCAGGGCTAAGCTTTAGGGGAACAGTCTTACTGAGGATCACTGGCTTCGAGGGGCAGCCGCCGCGGATCTGACCCATGGAGAACGCACCACCTCCTATAGTCTGGGTGGTGCAGCCTGGTATGGCCAAGGGGAAGTCCCTGCGACTGAAGATACGTTCCTTGTTGATATGGTGGGCCAGCAGGTAGGCCTGGTTCTGGTGCTGCTTCATGGCCGACACCATCTCTGAGACGTCTGTCAGCTCCGAGTTGGTCTCGTGCCCTGAGTCCAGCGATGACTCAGGCGTAATGGCCGCCAACACGATCAAGCCTATGGGAAGACGGAAACACAAGACACTATCAGGGTCACAAGGAAGTCATGTAACATCACAGACAGATGGAAAACAGTCATTGATTTCTGAAAGATGGCACATCAAATACACAGTTTCTAAGTACTGACTGTTGTCAAAATCTCTTGATGTTTATTTTAAAGCTCTGCTAACCGTCTATGAGTAAAACCTTGTTTTGCATCAAACTGAATTTAAATCAAGACTGAGTGAACTCTTGTGTTTCTCTCGCTATCAAAAGATACAACACAAGAGACTATGTTCAGTGTCAAGCAGTGTGCTGTAGAACAACACGTCAAAACATAGTATTTTTGTCTCTGTTTTGGGATGTTAAAGCTTTGAACTTGAATTATGCTATCAAGCCAGCCTCAATTCGTCGGGGCATGGACTCAACATGGTGTCTAAAGCATTCCACAGGGATGCTGGCCCATGTAGACTCCAATGCTTCCCACAGTTGTACACACGGGAAACTGTTGAGCGTGAAAACCCCAGCAGTGTTGCAGTTCTTGACGCACTCAAACCTCAAACCGGTGCGCCTGGCACCTACTACCATACCCCGTTCAAAGGCACTTAAATCTTTTGTCTTGCCCATTCACCCTCTGAATGACACACATACACAATCCATGTCCCAATTGTCTCAAGGCTTAAAAATAATTATTGAACCTGTCTCCTCCCCTTCATCTACACTGAAGTGCACAAAACATTCAGAACACCTGCTCTTTATATTACACAGACTGACCAGGTGAAAGATATGATCCCTTATTGATGTCACTTGTTAAATCCACTTTAATCATTTTAGATGAAGGGGAGGAGGTTAAAGAATGATTTCTGAGCCTTGAGACAATTGAGACATGGATGGTGTATGTGCGTCGTTCAGAGGGTGAATGTGTATGAAAATGTATGCACTCACTAACTGTAAGTCGCTCTGGATAAGAGCGTCTGCTAAATGACAAAAAATGGTGTTGTTTTTTAAATGGGCAAAACAAAAGATTGAAGTGCCTTTGAACGGGGTATGGTAGTAGGTGCCAGGCGCACCGGTTTGAGTGTGTCAAGAACTGCAACACTGCTGGGGTTTTCACGCTCAACAGTTTCCTGTGTGTACAACTGTGGGAAGCATTGGAGTCAACATGGGCCAGCACCCCTAAGGGAAAGCTTTCGACACCTCCATGCCCTGACGAACTGTGGAGGGCAAAACGGTGTGCAACTCAGTACTAATGTTTTGTACACTCAGCGTGTAAAAATATTTCAAAGTGCCCTTAGCAGTCACTGTGCTCTAAAATGAACCATTAGCACTAAAAAGAGCCCTTGGTGGTTAGATTAGACTCTCTATATGAGATGAAGTCCATAAAGCATGACTCGGCATGTTGACCTGTGGTCTGAGCTGGCTGTTGGTGGTGATGGGGGAAGTCCTCTGATGCAGCTAGGGCCTCCAGTGCCTGCAGAGTGGACACCAGAGCATCATCCAGCTCCTGGGCATGGTCCCGGACTGTCCTGGTTGCCACGTTGTCTATCAACGTCACCGGGACATCCTCTGGAGCCGGTACCACTTCCTTGGAAGAAGCCTTGGCAGAGCTCTTGCTGACTGCAGCCCCAGTTGCAGTGCTTGGACGCGGGACGGGGTTGGGGTTGGGTCGAGATTTCCGTCCTCTCTTGGCGTCGTCTTCGTCTGAGCTGTTGTCCCTGAACCCAGGTGGAGGGGCAGCAATGGCCGGCGGGGGCGGCTGCAGCTTTCTTCCTATGTCCTCCACCTCTTCTTCCTCCTCCTCTTCATTCCCCGGGGGAGGCAGGGCCATGAGGTCTACTGCACCTCCGTTGCGGGAGGCACAGGCACTGGAGCAGTGCTTCGACGAGGCGCCGCTGCATCCACCGTTCAAGCCCACAGCCACTCCCTCTGCCCTCAACCGGGCCTTGCAGGAGTCACAGAAGAACCGTGTAGTTCGGTGGGACTGCCCCATTGTTTGGACTCTGCTCCTGAAGGCCACTGAGCTCTCCTGGACGGGGCTCTCTGGCCTCCCGGTGATCGTCTCCGTGCTCTGCAGCGTCGGGTCAGACTTGGTACGGGGCCGCCCTGGTGCCTCTTGGGAAATGAAGTTCTCATTGATGTCGAGCTCGGGTTCTGCCTGCATTTGGAGCTCCTGCAGCTGTTGTTGCTCCCGGAGATGGACGTGGCATAGACCCAGGTGTTGGGACTCTGCGGGCAGTGGGGTGGCCGCTGTCTTCTGAGACTGGGACCCTGGGTCCCTCGTATGGGGTCTTTCCCTCTCGTCCCCTCGCCGGTCCCCACTGGACACCGCTGTGGCGCCGGAGCGCGGGTGGGCGTGGTGGGAACCTCTGTAATCTGAGGACAGAATTGTCAGAGCAGTTGAGAGGCTGAGAGGTGAGGAATCGCATGGGAGGATGGAGTGGGTCCTTATGGGAAAATAGAGGCGAAGACTGGTGGATTTTTTCGGTGATGGATGCTGGAGATAAGAGTTGGAGGTTTGAGGTAAGTCTGGTGGGATGTTATGGGATGTAGCGGCCTTCCTCTCATGCAGGCACACCACCACAGTAGATGGAAACAGAGCTGTGCATCTTTGAATATTACATGTATATTTGATTACAGAGAGAAAATCAAGGCAAAACCCCGAAATGTACCCTATGCGAGGAAAAGGGAGAGAATAGTCCGATGAAGATGAGATCTCAGGATGGAGATGGGAGGAGAGACAGCAGAGGTGATTGGTAGCTGTTGATATGGTTTAGGTCCAGATGCACAGATGCATTATGGAGAAGCAGGTCTCAGTCCAGTTAGATTGAGTAGAGTTGGTTGCAGTATAATGGTTTACATGCAATGCCTCACACTTGCAGACACACACAAAAACCTGTAAATGGAATCCTTGAGATGCAAACTGATATGCAGTCAATGGGGCTTTGGATGCTGAGTTTGAATGCTGAGTTTTATTGTTACAAAATGTAGCCAAAGCAAACAGTATGGAAAGGATTTTAACTGTAAATGAAAAACATTTTCAGTTTGATCTAAAGATAATAATAATGGAATCTCTGTAACACCTCCCGAAACACTAGACTTACAGATACATTTCTTAAACATCAACAGATATTGTAAATATGCAGTTTCATTGCAAGTCCTAACTAGCAGTATAAATCAAGGAGGTGACTACTAACATACCTGCCTTGATCATATAAGACTGACCAGGTGTCCTGTAGTAGATGGTCCGTTTGGGATCCACGAACAGCTTGTAGTAGCCGGAGATGAGACAGGCGAAGTTACTGGCATCAGGCCACTCCATCAACAGGACCAGAGGCTGCAGGGGTGGGAGTGGATAATTAAGATTTAGATTAAGATTCCTTTATTGTCCAATTGTACACAAGGTCCAACGGAAATGTGTCTTCTGCTTTATCCAATGATGTATATATTGGCTTTATCCCAGCCCCTCCGAAACACACACATATTCATACACAGAGGTTGGAGAGGTTGGAGCTGGGATGGAGAGGAGTTAGGAGACTTCAACAAAGCATTTGACTGTATATTTAATATAATGACCATACCGGTACTTCAACTTGGTTTATGTCACAGGTTTGATTTAATTGAATTTGAAAGGAATTCTTCTGGGCATCGAAAATCTATGTTAGGTAGCATAGCCTACTAGTATGGTGCAATGATTTCTGGCAAAACAAACAAAGCTCATTCTTTTGAGTTACACCCTGAGCTTCATAATGTCCTTCTAAATCTATAGTTGTATATGTGTTCAGTCTGCCATACCTTGGCCTCATGTATGGCCACCTCTACGCGGGCAACGCCCTGGTTCTCCCGGTGCAGCTGTATCTTAGCAACACGACTGAACTCTGTCAGAACCGTGGTCAGGTTGTTTTTTAGGTCGATCACATGACTGATGCCGTGCCGGGGACCCACCAGCAGCGTAGTGGCCGACTGCGTCTCATCCTGTTGATCAATCAGTCAGTCAATCAATCACTCAAACAAACATTCTATCAACACAGAGAGAGTTCTTAATTCAAGGAACAACATTATAAAACTTAACTCAGAAACATGCATTCTTCAAAAGTGGCCATTGAAGTGTGTTGATTACATGTACGTATATATATATATATATATATATATATACAGTCATGGCCAAAATTGTTGGCACCCCTGAAATTTTTCCAGAAAAGGAAGTATTTCTCACAGAAAAGTATTGAAATTACACATGTTTTGCTATGCACATGTTTTATTTCCTTTGTGTGTATTGGAATAACACAAAAAAAAAACAGGAAAAAAGCAAATTTGACATAATTTTCACACAAAACTAAAAAAATGGGCCGGACAAAGTTATTGGCACCCTTTCAAAATTGTGGATAAATAAGTTTGGTTCCAAGCATGTGATGCTTCTTTAAACTCACCTGGGGCAAGTAACAGGTGTGGGCAATCTAAAAATCACACCTGAAAGCAGATAAAAAGGAGAGAAGTTGACTCAGTCTTTGCATTGTGTTTCTGTGTGTGCCACACTAAGCATGGAGAACAGAAAGAGGAAAAGAGAACTGTCTGAGGACTTGAGAACCAAAATTGTGGAAAAATATCAACAATCTCAAGGTTACAAGTCCATCTCCAGAGATCTAGATGTTCCTTTGTCCACAGTGCGCAACATGATCAAGAAGTTTGCAACCCATGGCACTGTAGCTAATCTCCCTGGACGTGGACGGAAGAGAAAAATTGATGAAAGGTTGCAACGCAGGATAGTCCGGATGGTGGATAAGCAGCCCCAAACAAGTTCCAAAGAAATTCAAGCTGTCCTGCAGGCTCAGGGTGCATCAGTGTCAGCGCGAACTATACGTCGAAATTTGAATGAAATGAAAACGCTATGGCAGGAGACCCAGGAGGACCCCACTGCTGACACAGAGACATAAAAAAGCAAGACTACAGTTTTGCCAAAATGTACATGAGTAAGCCAAATTCCTTCTGGGAGAACGTCTTATGGACAGATGAGACCAAGATAGAGCTTTTTGGTAAAGCACATCTTTCTACTGTTTACCGAAAATGTAATGAAGCCTTCAAAGAAAAGAACACAGTACCTACAGTCAAATATGGTGGAGGTTCAAAGATGTTTTGGGGTTGTTTTGCTGCCTCTGGCACTGGGTGCCTTGACTGTGTGCAAGGCATCATGAAATCTGAGGATTACCAAAGGATTTTGGGTCGCAATGTAGGGCCCCAGTGTCAGAAAGCTGGGTTTGCGTCCGAGATCATGGGTCTTCCAGCAGGACAATGACCCCAAACATACTTCAAAAAGCACCCAGAAATGGATGGCAACAAAGCGCTGGAGAGTTCTGAAGTGGCCAGCAATGAGTCCAGATCTTAATCCCATTGAACACCTGTGGAGAGATCTTAAAATTGCTGTTGGGAAAAGGCACCCATCCAATATGAGAGACCTGGAGCAGTTTGCAAAAGAAGAGTGGTCCAAAATTCCGGGTGAGAAGTGTAAGAAGCTTATTGATGGTTATAGGAAGCGACTGATTTCAGTTATTTTTTCCAAAGGGTGTGCAACTAAATATTAAGTTAAGGGTGCCAATCATTTTGTCCGGCCCATTTTTTGAGTTTTGTGTGAAATTATGTCAAATTTGCTTTTTTTCCTGTTTTTTTTTGTGTTATTCCAATACACACAAAGGAAATAAACATGTGCATAGCAAAACATGTGTAATTTCAATACTTTTCTGTGAGAAATACTTCATTTTCTGGAAAAATTTCAGGGGTGCCAACAATTTTGGCCATGACTGTATATATATATATGTACGTAGTAACAGTTTAGGGTTGACTATACTTATTATATCCGTTTGGATTTCTGGCCTGGGATACTACAAGGCTACAGCAAAACATCAACATGAGCTGTACCTTGACATAAGAGAAATTCCTATGGAAATCAAATTCATCATAAAGGAGTCGGACTCATATACAGTATAATGTGGGAATGTTTATAAGAGAATGTTGCCATTACTAGTCCGACGGTGTGGAACAGCAAGCCTCCAAAGGGCGGAAGGTCGTTGAGCACGCGCATGTACTGCAGCTTTCCCTGGAGAGGAGGGACCTGTCAGTAGACACAACACAACACTCAAGGGCTCAGTCTCAATAGTCTCCAGTGGCTTCCTCTACTCGTCTCCTCTCCTTGATCTGCACTAACATTACAGGTGAAATTAAAATCCTAGTTGGCATCCTCCATGTTGTGATTTCAGATCAGTGATGAAGGAAAGGAGACGGGGAGGAAAAGCCACTCTATATGGTTGAGATTCACCCAAGGATGACCAGTGGATTATTGACTGCAATACTGTACATGTCCTCTTGGGGGCACTGTATAGCCATGTATAGGGGCACCAGCACACTGTTTAAACACGTTTGAAACGCCACAGCCAATCAGAAACAAAGATAAACTGCTTAACTGAGAGTGCAAGATAAAAGGTACAATTAATCTGAATTACTCAGTGTTATAGCTATGCTGTATCTAGAGAATATTTACTGAATGGAAGGTCATTGGTGACAGAGAGGAGAGATCACCTTGTTGCCGGAGGGAGGCAGATGCTGATAGGTCTTGAGCAGCTGTGACAGGGTCTTGCACACATTCTTCTCCTTGATGGTGGGCAGCAGAGTGAGGGGTAGGAAGGGTTCCAGACCCCACTCTTTCCTGGGGAGGGAGAGAGAGAAAGAGAGAGAGATAGAGAAGAGAGAGAGAGAGATAGAGGTCTACGATAGGACTTTACGCCGAGAGCTAGGGCCCATTAGCCCCCTCTCTCCCCTTTTTCGAGCTCTCTTTATCTCCGTTTCTCTCTTCCTCCTTTTCTCTCTTCCTCTCTCTCTTCCTTTTCCCTTCTCTCTCTCTCTTTCTCTTTTCTCCTCTCCTCTTTCTCTTTCTCTACTCCTCTCCTCTCTCCCTCTCTCCCCCTCCTTTCCTCCCCTCCCCTTCTCTCCTCCTCTTTGCTATCTTTCCTTCTTCTCTCTCTCTCTCTTCCTCTTTTCTCTCTCTCTCTCCTTCTCTCTCCTCTCTCCCTCTCTTCTCCCCCTTCCTTCTCTCTCGCTTCTCTCTCTCTCGCTGTTCTCTCTCCTCCTGCCTCTTTCCTTCTCTTTCTCTCCCGCTCTATCTCTCTTTTCTCTCTCCTCTCTCTCTTCTTTTCTCCTCTGGCGGGCTGGCTCTCTCTCTCTCTCTCGTCTTCTGGGCTCTCTCTTCTCCCCTTCTTCTCCCTTGCGCTCTCTGGGTCTCTCCTATGTCTCTATACGAATGGTTCAGCACTCGAGGGCTACGTCCCAAATGGCACCCTATTCCCTTTATAGCCCTGTGGGCCCTGGTCAAAAGTAGTGCACTATATAGGGAATAGGGTGCCAGTTGGGATGCAGCCAAAGACTCATGGAGCTACTCCTCTTATTCTCCGTCAAACTGACAGGGTTGACAAGGCCACCCTCAGAGTCAGACTCAGACAGGAGGGAGGACACTGGGTCTACTCTGTCTGTGTGACTGAATGCAATGCAGTGACTTGACTTGCAATTCATGTCATTTCCTTGTATTCACTCACATATTATGTGGTTGTTTTTTTCTAGTTGAATGCACTGATTGTAAGTCACTCTGGATAAGAGTATCTGCTAAATTAGTAAAATATCTGTCTGTCAGAGTGAGTTAGTTATCTGGTAATGTCTGTCAGTCAGAGTGAGTTAGTTATCTGGTAATGTCTGTCAGTCAGAGTGAGTTAGTTATCTGGTAATGTCTGTCTGTCATAGTGAGTTAGTTATCTGGTAATGTCTGTGTCAGAGTGAGTTAGTTATCTGGTAATGTCTGTCAGTCAGAGTGAGTTAGTTATCTGATAATGTCTGTCAGTCAGAGTGAGTTAGTTATCTGGTAATGTCTGTCAGTCAGAGTGAGTTAGTTATCTGGTAATGTCTGTCAGTCAGAGTGAGTTAGTTATCTGGTAATGTCTGTCAGTCAGAGTGAGTTAGTTATCTGGTAATGTCTGTCAGTCAGAGTGAGTTAGTTATCTGGTAATGTCTGTCAGAGGGAGTTAGTTATCTGGTAATGTCTGTCAGAGGGAGTTAGTTATCTGGTAATGTCTGTCAGTCAAAGTGAGTTAGTTATCTGGTAATGTCTGTCAGTCAGAGTGAGTTAGTTATCTGGTAATGTCTGTCAGTCAGAGTGAGTTAGTTATCTGGTAATGTCTGTGTCAGAGTGAGTTAGGAATTGTGTACATATCCTTACGACACGAGGCTGTGCATTTTCATGCTGAAACATGAGGTGATGGCCGTGGATAAATGGCACGACAATGGGCCTCAGGATCTTGTCTCTGTTCATTCAAAATGCAATTGTGTTTGTTGTCCGTAGCTTATGCCTGCCCATACCATAACCCCACCACCACCATGGGGCACTCTGTTCACAACGTTGACATAAGCAAACCGCTCGCCCACACGATGCCATTTGCCCGGTACAGTTGAAACTGGGATTAATCCGTGAAGAGCACACTTCTCCAGCGTGCCAGTGGCCATCGAAGGTGAGCATTTGCCCACTGAAGTCGGTTACAGCGCCAAACTGCAATCAGGTCAAGACCCTGGTGAGGATGACGAGCAAGCAGATGAGCTTTCCTGAGACGGTTTCTGACAGTTTGTGCAGAAATTCTTCAGTTGTGCAAACCCACAATTTCATGAGCTGTCCGGGTGGCTGGTCTCAGTCGATCCTGCAGGTGAAGAAGCTGGATGTGGAGGTCCTTGGGCTGGCGTGGTGTCACAGGGTCTGCGGTTATGAGGCCGATTGGATGTACTAACAAATTCTCTAAAACGACGTTGGAGGCGGCTTATGGTAGAGAAATTAACATTCAATTCTCTGGCAACAGCTCTGGTAGACATTTCTGCAGTCAGCATGCCAATTGCAAACTTGAGACATTTGTGGCATTGTGTTGTGTGACAAAACTGTACATTTTAGAGTGGCCTTTTATTTTATACCTGTGTAATGAGCATGCTGTTTAATCAGCTCCTTTATATCTCACACCTGTCAGGTGGATGGATTATCTTGGCAAAGGAGAAATGCTCACTAACAGGGATGTAAAGAAGTTTGTGCACAATTTGAGAGAAATAAGCTTTTTGTGCTTATGGAACATTTCTGGGATCTTTTATTTCAGCTCATGAAACATGGGACCAACACTTTACATGTTTAATTTATATTTTTGTTCTCTATAGTTATCTGGGAATGTCTGTCTGTCAGAGTTATCTAGTTATCTGGTAAGTTGGGGATATGACTAAATGTGTGGCCAAAGGGAATTTTAATTCTAAAAGGAATTTCTTGGTGTCAGAGTGACTTGAGCTTGTGGTTTGAGTGGTTTCTGCTTTTAATATTAGATGGATTAATTATGGATCATTTTGATATACTTTTAGAAGCTCAGCTGGATACCACACTTCAACATATTAGAGCTAAGACATTTTTTATTAAATATAATGGAATACGGAGACACGCATTTCGGTCTGTGAAGTGTCTGAGTAATGAGTCATGCAGCTGAGCGATCCATTTTGTCGTAAGACACACACACACACATACACACACACACACACTTACTCCACATTCTTGAGGGAGATCTTCTGATTAGGTCTGGCCGACGACACTGTGATGTAGATATGAAGCGCCGCCAGCCGCAGTGTGACGTCAGACTTCCAGTCCATGCCGAAGCGCTCTTTGATGACATCATTGCGACTCTGTGGTGGGGTGGGGGTAATGTCATGTTTTTCAGGTTATACAGTTTTAGGCACAGCTATAACAGAGATGGATGTCCTTGTCAGGAACCTCTTCCAGCAATCTTATGCAAAGGGGTGAGACAGAGAGATATTGAAGTTGCACTGATTACTTCTTTGATTTGTGTTGGACGTGACGTGAAACTGGTTTTGCTACGTCTATATACCATCTTGGTATGGCAGAATCTCTAGCATGTGAGATTTACTATAACTCCATTCTAGAATGAGATGGAGAAGGACATAAATCTGGAACTACTCATGGGTGCCAGAGGTTCTAAGCCTTTAGTTGGCTCAGTGGGCTGAGGGGCTCCGCTGCAGAAAGAACCCCTTGACAATCCAAACAGAATCATGAGGTTTGTATCCATGGTATCCCCACCTAGAGGTACCTGAAGGCTGTAGCCCCACCTGTATGTAGAGGTACTCGAAGGCTGCAGGGTCCCTCCTGAGCAGGTCTGCTGGATCCTTGGGGAAGAAGCAGATGCGGAAGAGACACTTCATCCCCTGGAAATACGTCCTGTGCACCACCTGAGGAGAGAGAGGGAGACGTCATGAATAACATCTATATCATAACAGCTTCCTTCACAACATAGTAGACAAACACAGCTAGTCAATGGAAGGTGATTACCATGCTATCTAATCTATAGATTCTATTTCTATGAGTGTAAACAATTTGCCATGGTCTGAAGAGCTTTGTCCTTGGTAATGATTCAGTCTGGTTTAACCAGGCTATATTACACCTACACTGCTCTTAGAATGACTGTAACATGATAATCAGGAGGAATAGAGTAACTGTTGGCTCCCTTACATGTGAGAGCGGCTGGTTCTCCTGCAGCATGTGTAGTCTCTGGTCCTGGTCCAGCCCACCTGACTCCAGCACCAGGGCAAAGTGCTCTATGTAACGCAGGGACAGGCGGTCCTGCAGGGACGAGATCACGTCCTAGAGAGGGAGAAGGAAAGAGGGAGAGATTTATTTGGAGTTTATGGATAGCATTTATCTCTTGCAATATTTATTAAATATTTAATGTCCTCCTGTGTTATGATTTTTATCTGTGCGACGTAGATTTCTCTACATGTGGCTGTCCGCACAAATAGACCAAACTATCCTGTTATCTTCTCCAATGAGGGTTTCAGAGGTCATTCCCTATCTACACTAGTCCCTGTAATAGTGCACTAACTGTCAAAAGTAGTGCACTATGTAGGGAAAGGGAATAGCGTGTTATTTGGGACGCATCCCGTCTGTACTTAATTGCCAGAGCTCTATTTGCTCTCTCACGGTGTTGCATTGGGATCAATATACTGTACTACTAGCTAGGTTTCCATGGCGACGGAATTTCATGTGAATTTTCTGAAATCCACATAAAGAAAATATGCACATTTTCCCACCAGTGGTGTGTTTCCACCAAACGGACTTGTTGAGGATAAAATTAGTGCGTGATGACATAGCGCACTCCATGTACTTTTTTGCTTAAGTTTTCATGTACCGAATACAAATCTAAAGTTCAATGTGTTTCCGTCGCATTTTCAACTCTGCCGATGGTTTTGTCACAAAAAGTGTTGCGTTAAATAGCAGATGTACCTACTCTGGTTTTGGCCTGTGCGGTCTAGACAACAGCTGGCAGATATAGTTCTGGTAGCCTAGTCTACATTATTATGGATATGAGCAAGAATATTTTTATTTGTCAAACGGCAGTCAAGCATTGATCATCATGTCACCAGAACAAGACCTTCAGTATTTATTAGAACGGAGCATCAAGATCACCGTGAACTTTCACCACCCTGTGAAGTTCATCATAACTATTTCATCTGTAGCCTAATAAACTATGCTTTCCCGAGTCATAGTGAGAGGACTACACACCATATCATCACGTGACTCCAAGTTTACTTCGATATGATTGTTATTATATCAATATTTGTGCATGAAGGCGTTTTTATCACAATTTCTCGCATAATTCATTTTACGTACATAAAACCATCCCACCATGTCGAACGAACAAATCATCTGTCTGCATTCATAAAATTGTACCGAAACTTATTGTTTCCGTCACATTTGTCGTGATTTAAAAAAAAATAAGTATGAACTTTACTCCATAAAAACTGTGGAGGGAAATGTGGGTTATTGGTAGACTTCTTTGTGTGCTTCTCTTACTATAAAATTAGTAGATGATGCTTTGATTAGATAAAGGGATAGAAGAGATGAGAGGGGATGGAGAGTAGAGAGGAGAGAGAGAGGAGGAGGTAGAGGGAGAGAGAGAGAGAGAGAGAGAGGAGAGAGAGAGAGGAGAGAAGAGGGGAGAGAGAGAGAGAGGAGAGAGAGAGAGAGAGAGAGAGAGAAGAGAGAGAGAGAGAGAGAGAGAGAGAGAGACGAGAGTAGTAGAGGCGAGTAGAGATCGAGAGCGAAGGGAGATGGGATGATAGAGAGCGTCAAGCGAGTAAGCGTAAGAGTCTCTACTCTTCTCGTCCTTGCTCTATCTCTATCTAGCTTCTCTCTCTATCTCTTCGTCTATCTCCTCTCTCTCTCTCTCTCTCTCTCTCTCTCTCTCTCCACACTGCAGAGGAAATGTAACCTAGGCCCGTACTGTCTGCATTCCAAATGGTGCTGTATAGTGCATTACTGTAGAGGCCTATGGGCGCTGGTCAAAAGTAGTGCACTATATACTTTTGTTAATAGGGTGCCATTTGGAACTCCGGTGTATTCTTCTCTTTGCTCCTTGTGACTGAGGGTAAGATTTCATAACATACTGTATTTCAACTCAGACAAATACAGTACTTGGATAGTGTTAGTGTGTGCATGTGGTGTGTGTGTGTGTGTGTGTGTGTGTGTGTGTGTGTGTGTGTGTGCAGCCAATGACCTATCATAATGGTGGATGGAGAAAACCCTAGTCATTTTTGTCCCTCCCTCCCTTTCTCTCTCATTCTCTCTCGCTCCCTCCATCCATCCCTCGCTCCCTGAATGAGCAGGAAAAGAGATTTCTGAAATGTAATATTGTGCCTTTAATGAGTCTGGTGGGAGATGTCAGAGTCGTCTCATAGCCTGATAGTAGATGGTAATGACTTCTATCTGTCTCTTGACTGACTGCTGGATGTCATTACAATATTACAGCATGTGCCCCATATGGTACCCTATTCCCTTTTCAGCACACTAATGTTGACCAGAACCCATAAGGCTTGGGTCAAAAGTAGTGCACTATATAGGGAATAGGGTGCCATTTGAGATGCATCCACAGCCATTATAAAATACTGGGAATTGAAGGAAGTGGGCTTCTCATAACTAGGCCTGTTCCTCCAACACTGTGGGGGGGTCTTACCATCAGTGGCGTCATTAAATATTTGTATGATGGTTATACCCGCTGGGCACAGACGTCAGTACAACGTCTAGTTTTGATTTACATTTGGTTGAGTTGTCAACTAACGTGAATAAAATAAAAAAATAATTGGATTCCCATCACATCGATAATGTTTTGTCTGTAGGTGCTACAAAGCAACATTTGGTGTTATATGAAGCTTCACCTCTTGCTCTGTAATATGAGTAGTATTTTACAATGTATCGTTGAACATGATATACTCTACGGGCGTATCAAAGTTCCAGATATCTACTACTTTTAGAGTTATGGCCCATTTAATACAGATACATGGGCACAGCAGGCAATGTAACCAATCGCAGCCCTCCTTTTACTTGTATCATTGCACATCCTGCAAATCACCAGCAGAGAGTGACCTTTTAAAATCAGTTTTCACATTCACTCTGTTGGTAATGTTTACAAATTGGACCCTAACTATATACGTACCCTGACAGTGGTGCGGCTGTCAAACGTGAAGGACTTGATCTGACCATTCTCCAGGAACACCTTCAGCACATTTGGTATGAGTAGCAAAGAGTCGTCCTTTAGCATTGTCTGTGAGAGAGAGAGATGGAGAGACAGAGAGAGGGAGAGGGAGAGGGTGGAGGGAGAGGGAGAGGCGCAGAGATAGAGGGAGGGAGAGAAAGAGAGAGGGAGGGAGAGAGAGAGAGAGAGAGGGAGAGGAGGGAGAGGGAGAGGCGCAGAGATAGAGGGAGGGAGAGAAAGAGAGAGGGAGGGAGAGAGAGAGAGGGAGAGAGAGAGAGAGGGAGGGAGAGAAAGAGAGAGAGAGAGAGAGAGAGAGAGAGAGCAAATGTAAAACCTTAGTGCCTCTTATAGCAGTAAGAGAGAGGCAAGATGAGGTATCTGAGAAAGTACTTAAAAGGTTAATATCCTACATCAACATGGTACAGTACATTTAATCAACCCCAGAGTAGGGGATCAGGGCTATAACTGAATGAAGTCAGAGCTCCAGAACTGTGGAATGTGCAGAGAGAAGTACATTCCATCTAAAAGCAGTTGAGAAGGGACCAGGCTGGAGCTTTTTTTTGGGGGGGGGGGGGGGGGATACTTTGTGCTGTGATCAAAGAACAGCTTATTACATTTCCTCAATGCATCAATTTAATATGTATGTGCCGGTGCTGCAAGTACAATTGGAAGCTAGCTGGCTGAATAGACTATAAAGTGTGGTGGTTGCGTAGCCCAGGGAGAGCTGCAGGAGGCCTGATAACTCAAGGTTATTCTGCTTTTATCAGCCACTCATCAGAAAAGTTTCCTCTGCTGGAGCTGAGTTCCGTCTAGGTAGGGAGATGGGCCGTGACACGTCTTCACTCTCTCCAGAGGTGGTGTCATCAGGAGGGTGAATGAGGGATGTAGAGTGAGTTATATACACACATCACAAGCATCCACTGCTGTTCTGAAAATCACTTGGTGAACAGAGAGAAGAGAGAAGAGAGGAAGATGGACAATGTAGCCTAGTGGTTAGGAGCTGAAAGTACAAGGCACAAGGCCGAAAGTACAAGGACAAGGCTGAAAGTACAAGGACAAGGCTGAAAGTACAAGGCACAAGGCTGAAAGTACAAGGCACAAGGCTGAAAGTCCAAGGCACAAGGCTGAAAGTCCAAGGCACAAGGCTGAAAGTACAAGGCACAAGGCTGAAAGTCCAAGGCCCAAGGCTGAAAGTACAAGGCACAAGGCTGAAAGTGCAAGGCACAAGGCTGAAAGTGCAAGGCACAAGGCTGAAAGTGCAAGGCACAAGGCCAGTAACTAATTGCTTCTGTATGTCGCTCTGGATAAGAGTGTCTGCTAAATGACTAAAATGTGATAATATTCAACAACTACTGTATCTGATGAGAGGTAATGAAATGAACATCATTTGGAATAGACTGACTACACTACACTACAGATGTATCCACATAAGATGTCAGCTAGGCTACACTATCTAGAGGTGCTATCTAGAACCTAAAAGGGTATTTCGGCTGTCCCCATAGGAGAACCCTTTTAAGAACCCCTTTTGGTTCCAGGTAGAACTCTTTTGGGTTCCATATGAAACCCTTTCCAAAAGGGTTCCACCTGGAACCAAAAAGGGTGTAGTTTAGAATTCCACCCAGTCTACCATGGCTTCTCTCTAAGACCTGAGGTGGATAATGATGACAGAAGTAAAGGTTGAATTTAGCATAACGGCCTGTGTTAGCCGAGCGTGGAGCAGAGCAGTGCAGGCAGGCCTGCCTCCCAAATGACACCCTATTTTCTATATAGTGCACTACTTTTGACCAGAGCCCTATTGGCTCCTGTTAAAATTAGTGCACTATATAGAGAATAGGGTGCCATTTGGGACGCGTGCCTAGTAGATGTAGTTGTGGCTGAACATATAGCCGCCTCATCTCTCTTTCCTTCTATGTCGATTAACTTCAAACGCTCAGGTTAGGTGGTCTGCACTGATAAGCAAGTCCAAACCAATCAATCCCCACTCCCAGCCTCTGATCACAGGAGACGGATAGACATGATTAAATGCTCTGCCGAAGGGGGATGGTCTGATCTTTGCCAATCGCTAACCCTCCTCCTCCCCTCACCTCCCTCCCTCTGCCTCCAGCTCTGATCAACATACTTTTTTTATTTTGTATATATAAAACATACAGTCTACTTGCAGTGAAGCCACTCAACAACTACATCACATTAGTAATCTAACAGACTCCCATCCAGAGAGACCCACAGAAGCAACCAGGGTCAGCGCCCTGCTCAAGGGCACGTCGACAGATCTCCCACAAGGTCAAAAACGGGGACCCGAACCAGCGACCTATGAGCCACCAGCCCAAGCTCTTAACCGCCAGGCCACCAGCCCTCCAAGACCCCCCCCCCACAGTTCTCCAAGAGCTGCCCCTCAACCATCCGAGACCCCCAGAGTTTTTTTAGTCATTTTAGCAGACACTCTTATCCAGAGCGACTTACAGTTAGTGAGTGCATACATTTTTCATACTGGCCCCCCCGTGGGAATCGAACCCACAACCCTGGCGTTGCAAACGCCATGCTCTACCAACTGAGCTACACGGGGCTCCAAGAGCTGCCCCTCAACCATCCGAGACCCCCCCCTCACAGTTCCCCCAGAGCTGCCCCTCAACCATCCGAGACCCCCCCCCCCCACAGTTCCCCCAGAGCTGCCCCTCAAACATCCGAGACCCCCCCACAGTTCCCCCAGAGCTGCCCCTCAACCATCATAGACTGCCCCCCCACAGTCCCCCCCCCCCCCAAGAAAAATACAATAAAATGGCTTAAAAAAATTAAAATAAAAATTTTAAAAATAAAAACAGCAAGGCCAACTGAATATGTTTGAGTGCATGTATGGCACTATTTACGTGTGTATGTGTGTGTGTCCGTGTATGTGTACGTGTGTGCATTTGAATGAGAGTGTGTGTATATGCATGTTTACAAACCCCTGCGCGGCATCAGCCTCAGGCAAACAGGCATTAGCTGTAACAACACTGCCCCTCAGTGTCATTCAAATGTACTTTTTGTTTTGTTTTATTTTGACTTTTTTTTACGTTCATCTTTGATCGTCATTCTATCCCCCTGCCCAGCAACTCCATTCCCACTTGTCTCCAATTCCAATTCCACATCCCAACCCTCAGCTTCCCTAAGCCCATCCCACCTATCTCTGCTGGCCACCCTCTTCGGATTTCTACGCACCATATATCTTTGATATATACCATATGATCAACAGAACTTACTTCAACGAGAAAGAGTGAGGGAGAGAGAAAGGGGGTGGTCAGAGATAGATTGAGATGGAGAGACTTGGGAAGAGAATAGGTTCACCCCTGTCTACACTTATTTATTCATTTAGCCTCCATACACCCAGGGGAGAAGGACCATCTCTCTCTCCCTGTAGCAGGCCTACACCCAGGGGAGAAGGACCATCTCTCTCTCCCTGTATCAGGCCTCCACCCAGGGGAGAGGGACCATCTCTCTCTCCCTGTATCAGGCCTCCACCCAGGGGTGTTGGACCATCTCTCTCTCCCTGTATCAGGTCTACACCCAGGGGAGAGGGTCCTTCACAGCCAAGTAGGGACTTTACATCTCAGCTCTCAGCCAGCCTAACACTGTAACGCTTCTGCTGCAGCTGAATACAAAATGTGCCCAATGTTTAACAAACGTCTTAGAAACAGTTTAGAGGTGCAACCTGTGCTCTACCAGAGAGAGGGGACATCGATCTGGAGGAGAACAATTTATAATCAAAAAGCTGCACTGTGTTGGACCCAAGGCTGTTTTGTATGGTGCAAGTAGTCAGCTACCCAAAATACAAACACGGTGATGGAGAGGAAGAGGATGTTCAGCCATGTTTAATCAGCCGGGAGACAGGCCCAGGCCCAGGGTAAAGAGAGAATAAACAGAGGAGAACGTTTTAGAGAGACGTGGAGAAAGACTGAGTAGTGAGAGAAATTGTGTTACAGAAAAATAGCGAGAGTGAGAGAGAATGAAAGATTGAGAAAACAAGAAACGACAGAGAGGGAGACAGAAATGGAGAGAGAGAGATAGAAAGAGTATACTTACTGAGTCTGGGTCACTGAAGGACACTTGCTCTGAAAAGCGCACTTTGGGCGGGTTGGTTCTCAGATGGGCCTTCTTAGCTGCACTTATAAAGGCTGACTTAGGTGACTGGAAGAGAAGAGAGGAAACAGGTGACTGGAAGAGAGGAGAGGAAAGAGAGGAAGAAACAGGTGACTGGAAGAGAAGAGAGGAAACAGGTGACTGGAAGAGAAGAGAGGAAACAGGTGACTGGAAGAGAAGAGAGGAAACAGGTGACTGGAAGAGAGGAGAGAAAAGAGAGGAAGAAACAGGTGACTGGAAGAGAAGAAAGGAAACAGGTGACTGGAAGAGAAGAAAGGAAACAAGTGACTGGAAGAGAGGAGAGGAAAGAGGTGACTGGAAGAGAAGAGAGGAAACAAGTGACTGGAAGAGAAGAGAGGAAACAGGTGACTGGAAGAGAAGAGAGGAAACAGGTGACTGGAAGAGAGGAGAGGAAAGAGGTGACTGGAAGAGAAGAGAGGAAACAGGTGACTGGAAGAGAAGAGAGGAAACAGGTGACTGGAAGAGAAGAGAGGAAACAGGTGACTGGAAGAGAGGAGAGGAAAGAGGTGACTGGAAGAGAAGAGAGGAAACAGGTGACTGGAAGAGAAGAGAGGAAACAGGTGACTGTAAGAGAAGAGAGGAAACAGGTGACTGGAAGAGAGGAGAGGAAACAGGTGACTGGAAGAGAGGAGAGGAAACAGGTGACTGGAAGAGAAGAGAGGAAAGAGAGGAAGAAACATCTCTATCTATCTCCATAGCTTATAAGACATTTAGGTTTTATTCACTGCATTAACAATCAAATTAAACAAATGAGAAAAGTTTTATGATTTGAAACCATTTAGTTATGTTTAGCAAAAATGTGATTTAGTTAGATGGTTAAATAATTAGGACGTTTTACATTAAAGTTTCATTACATGCCTGGCTGAGCATGGGTCTGTAATTACAAAGGCAACAAAATAACTGATATGTGTTTGTGCATAAAACAGTGCTTTTGAAACAGACTGTTGAGACGAGAAATTGTAGCAGTAGCCATGTAGCCTATAGAGGTGATTGTGTTCAGTAGCACAGCACACTAAAAAATGAGTGTTCCTCAAGGGTTCTTTGGGAAGGGTGCTGGTTCTATGTGGAACCATACAGACGCAAAGAACCCTTTAACCCAATGGTTCTTTGCAGTTCAAAAAAGGGTTAGTTCCTCTTTTAGTGATAATTCAAATGTACGCAGTGGTGTAAAGTACTTAAGTACAAATACTTTAAAGTACTACTTATGTTTTTTGGGAGGGTATCTGTACTTTACTTCGCTATTTATATTTTGGACTACTTTTACTTTTACTTCACTACATTCCTAAAGAAAATAATGTACTTTTTACTCCATACATTTTCCCTGACACCCAAAAGTACTCGTTACATTTTGAATGCTTAGCAGGTCAGGAAAATTGTCCAATTCATACACTTATCAAGAAAACATCCCTGGTCATTCCTACTGTCTCTGATCTAGCAGACTCAATAAACACATGCTTTGTTTGTAAATGATGTCTGAGTGATGGAGTGTGCCCCTGGCTATCTGTAAATAAAATAAAACAACTAGAAAATGTGGCTGTCTGGTTTGCTTAATATAAGGAATTTGAAATGATTTATACTTTTACTTTTGATACTTAAGTATATGTAAAACCAAATACTTCTAGACTTTTACTCAAGTAGTATTTTACTGGGTGACTTTCACTTTTACTTGAGTCATTTTCTACTAAGGTATCTTTACTTTTACTCAAGTATGACAATTGGGTACTTTTCCACTACTGAATGTATGGGCAGCGGCTCATCTGAATATTTGGGGGCGTGGTTTGTTCACAGCTCTTTTTGTGCAACCGTGAGTGAGAGAGTCATTCCAGTTTATCTAGTCTGTTGTGTTACGTAATTACATTTTTTATTTGAATACTGTCGGTGACAGTGTCTAGTGAAAGATTTACGTATGGCCTTGTGTCAACTGAGAATGGTTGACTATGTCAGTAGTTCTCAGTTTTCTCTTCAGGGAACCCTAGCTGTTCGACTTGTCAATAAACCAATAAACACAACAATACAATTATGGAATTTTAACAATATGACTATTAAACCAGAATAAAAAACCCTATATGGTTCTTTCCATGACATAGACTGACCAGGTCAAAGCTATGAACCCTTATTGATGTCACTTGTTAAATACACTTCAATCTGTGTAGATTAAGGATTTTTAAGCCTTGAGACAATTGAGACATGGATTGTGTATGCGTGCCATTCAGAGGGTGAATGGGCAAGACAAAAGATTCAAGTGCCTTTGAATGGGGTATGGTAGTAGGTGCCAGGCGCACCAGTTTGAGTGTGTCAAGAACTGCAACGCTGCTGGGTTTTTCATGCCAACTTGACACAACTGTGGGAACCATTGGCATCAACATGGGCCAGCATCCCTGTAGAACACTTTCGACACCTTGTTGAGTCCATGCCCCGACGAATTGAGGGTGCTCTGAGGGCAAAAGGCGGTGCAACTCAATATTAGGAAGGTGTTCCTAATGTTTTGTACACTCCGTTCTCCATAAAGGTTCTATAAGGAACCATAAAAAAGGTTTCTATATAGCCCCAAAAAGGCTTGTAACCATTTAATGGTTCTTTATAGAACCTTGGGAAAGGGTTCTTTATAGCACCATACAGGTTCCATTTAGAACCTTATGAGTATTGTTCTTTACAGACCAAAAAGGGTTCAGCTATGGTTACAAGCCATATAACCCTTATTTGGGACTTATATACACTACCGGTCAAACGTTTTAGAACACCTACTCATTCAAAGGTTTTTCTTTATTTTGACTATTTTCTACATTGAACTAACACATATGGAATCATGAGTAACCAAACAAGTGTTAAATGCTAAGAGTGTGCAAAGCTGTCATCAAGGCAAAGGGTGGCTATTTGAAGAATCTCAAATATAAAATATATTTTGATGTAGAATATATTTTGATGTAGAAAATAGTAAAAATACGGAGAGAAACGGTGAGCGAGAGCTGTGTATTGTTACCTGGTGAGGCTGCAGCACAGTGAGAACTATGGAGTCTTTGCAGCATCTATAGAGAGGACAGGCAGCAGAGAGGAGAGAGGAGTGTGGAGTGGGTTAGGTAACACTAGAGCTGTGGCATTGGAAGAAACGGTCCTGTTTTTACCTGCTAGACCTCCTCTCTGTTCTCTGTGATTCATCTGTCCCATTATGTTTCTATGGAATATATGAGGCTTAGAGACAGACTATTTCTCCGTTACTTTAGCCTTCAAACACACAGAACGATCACCGCTGTACTGCTGCTGCTGAATGTACTGCAGATACTGCTCTTATGTGTTGTGAGAGTTCACACATTGAATGAGCTTAGAAAAACATTCCCACCAAAGCTTCGTCCTGTCCCAGACTCACATAAGGTGTAGGCTATAGACGAACAACAATCTAGAGACACAGAGCATTGGATTCTCCTCCTCGACTCATTCCTTACCTCCCCCTCCCCCTCGCTCTACCTTCCTCGCCAAACCCACCACCCCTTGACCTCCCCATTCCCCACCCCTCCCCCCTCCCCCTGTGGTGATATAAAGGATGTTACCTTACAAGGTCTATGACTCTCTCCCGGGGAGCCTCGCTCACCACCTCCTCATTGATTGCCAGGATCTGGTCTCCAGGGAGAAGCTTGCCGATGGACGGGCCGTCTGGGTCAGCATATACACACACACACACACACACATACACACACACACACGCACACGCAGACGCAGAGGAACACTTAGTCTATGCGTAATGGACGGACACACAGACACAGACATCAAACTGACAATACTCATATATTATCTCTCTATCTATCTCTCGCTCTATCGCTCTCAGATACACACACACACACACACAGACAGACTCACACACACACACACAGACTCACACACACACATACACACACACAGATCCCTACCTACCTGCAGAGACGGAGCGTATGATGACTGGTCTCTGGCTGCCTGCTATGAATCCGAAGCCTTGGCTGGGGTGGCGCTGAATGCAGACCTGTCGAGCTGAAGCTGGAGTCAGGCTACCACTGTCCATACCATCCTGGCTCTCTTCTAACATCGCAGGGCTGCACCGGGAACACACACACACACACACACACACACACACACACACACACACACACACACACACACACACACACACACACACACACACACACCACACACCACACACACACACACCACACACACAGGCACAGGCACAGGCACACACACACACACACACACACACACACACACACACAGGTACACACACAAACACACACAGGCACACACACACAGGCACACACACACCACACACATACACAGGTTTATTAGATACACAAATAAATTAAAAGTGTGTATGTGTGTTTATGTGTGTGTATGTGTCTGTGACTCATTATGTTCCCTATGTAGGGTGTATATGGGGTAGGAAATGTCCTATGTAGGGTGTATATGGGGTAGGAAATGTCCTATGTAGGTTTTAAGTCAAGTACTCCATGTAGAGATAAATAATGTGTTTGTGTGCCCTACGTAGGGAGGAAGTATAGTGTACCTGTCACATGTGTTTGTGTGTCCATCCTGGACCTTGGCCATCCCCTGAGAGGAGGGAGGAGCATGGGGCGGGGTCTCACAGCAAGGAGCTCTCTCTGATTCTCAATCATTCACCTGAGAGGAGAGGGAGGATGGACGGAGAGGGGGAGTAGGGAAACGGGGAGGACGGGGAGGGAAGGATGGAGGGAGGAGGGGGAGAAAGAAGGGAGAAGGAGGGAATAACATTAGAGATTGACTTAGGAGCAATCACATGACTGAAGCAAATTCCAACAGAGCCTATAAGATTTAATGTGCTCTACTTGCTGCAGAGTAAAATCCTAAATTGGTATAGGCTATTTGTTGTTATGAAACCACCATCCATTTTCTTTCAAGCAAGCAAAATGTGTAGTCTAGCCACAAAACAGCATGGCATCTACACAGGGGCAAAAAGTACTACTGTGAAGTTGAACGATGCAATTTCACAGAACACACACTCCGGCTGCATCCCAAATGGCACCCTATTCCCATAGGGCTCTAGTCAAAAGTAGGGATAGGGTGCCATTTGAGACACAGACTCAGTCTCAGTCACAGTCTTCAAAACACACAATAGATTGTGTTGTAGTTTCTTCCAAAGCTTCTGACTCCAGATAAAGAAACACGGGAGGTACAGAGGAAGAAGAGGTGAAAGAGGATTTGGGGAATGTAGACATAGAGAGGGAGTGTATATGCACGGCAGGAAGCAAAGCACTTAGAATATGTGTAAGGCAGAACAACTGACTGAACCTAGCTTCTAATGGCTCTAGTGATGAAGAGGCAGCTAAAGTCAACAACAACAACAACAACACACAGACCTAGTCTGGGCTCATGTCAAACAACACCTTCTCATTTCCAGATGCCTGCGTGGGAGTTAGAGGTTGAAGGAGGGAGAGAAAGAGAGTGATATACTGTTGTTTTATCTCATTTTAGTGAGCTGCATATTCTGACAGTGTCTGCCTAAAGATGAGACACTGATTGGAATTTGAATGGGACAGGTTGCATCTGGAGGACTTGCATCAGACACAGAGAGAGAAAGAGATAAAAGAGAGGGAGAGAGAGATGGAAAGTGAGAGAGGGAGACAGAGATAAGGAAAAGGTAAATGTTATTCAGATACTGATGATCCATTATGCACACAGTGTCTGATCTGTGGAGAGGCACAGATTAATACAGGGATGACAAGCCATCAATAACATGAGCACAGATGAGTCAGTGGAGTCAATGGTTGATATTTATGTTCTGTCACATTTGTTTTTCCTGATAATGACAGAAGGGCATTGGAAGAAAATGTCACCTCTCCAATCACAATGCAGCGTTAATGATCCCTGACTAATCTATGACAGGCGATCAATTGACGATTGATATCCGTTTCAAAGATCTCTCAACAAGGGATAGACTCATTATAGCAGTATGCTACGAATTAACTAAAGGGATTAAAATGACACCCTTTTCCCTTCATAGTGTACTACTTTTATAGGGAACGTGGTGGCATTTGGGAGGAAGACATAGCACAATATCAACCCAGCTAGCACATTTGGTTTCTTGTAAATTCTGGGAACGTATGTTTTTGGTTTCACATTGGTTGTTGGAATGAAGCATACGTTTCCTGACCGTTAAAACAGAAAGTAGGTTGCAGGGAGGTTCTGAGAACGTTTTACTCTGGTTCCTTGAAAGTTTTCCTGGGAGGTTTTATTAACACTCTGAGAATGGAAGATATAGGTTATTTTGAGGTTTTTGAATATCTTCCTTAAAACTTTCACTGAATGTTTCAAAAACACTGCTAGCTTATTTTACGCGTAACTTTTTTTAACTCCAGGCATAGATAGGACATAGATAGTGTGACCAATTAGTAGGCGCGGCCAACACACTTAAAAAAGCTAGAGGATAGAGTTTTGTTGATGCTTATAACGGAATCTCTATGTTTTTAAATACGTTTTAGAACGTTCTCTGAACATTGGTGTTCTTATGGGTTTTATGGAACGTTTTCTAAATGTTCTCGGAAACAATTTGAGAACATGACTTTAAATAGAACCATGAGGAAACCTGTAGGAAACGTTATGCTGAAGTACTGAAATTCCCACAGAAGAACGTTGTTTCTTAACTTTCTTGGAACAATTTGAGAACATTACTTTAAATAGAACCATGAGCAAACCTGTAGAATGTTCCTAGAACATTACCAAAATTAGAACAAGACAACAGTAAACATGTCATCCCCCACGAATGATGAACACCCCCCCCCAACCCCACCCGGGCCTATTGAGATATCATGTGTGACTAACACATTTCAGTTAATTACTATAAGTCCCGCCTTGGGCCAATCAGTGGAATTTTGTAAATGCCAGATCTCTATGGCAAGACGCATCATTCACCCAAGTTTTGTCAAAATCGGGCCAGCGCTGTCTGAAATATTGCGTGTGACATACATATGAACGAACGGACTGACGGAGAGTTGTGGGAAGGTTGTATGCAAAATAACCACAGGACAACCACGCTCTCACCAAGCTCCAAGAAACATATGGTTCTCAGAACGTTATGTGCTAGCTGGGAAGGCTTCCCAGTTGGTATACAGACTGCTTCCTCACTGGTTGCCAGCAATCAAAGAACGTTCACACAACATTAGTTAACCAGATATTGTTTGCTGGGAAGTTGTTTTCAGGAACTTGTGAAACTCCTGATGTATAATGTTTGTTGTTTATGTTAATTCAGGCTGAAGTGTGAAGGTATTTAAGTTCTAACTGTAGCTTAGACTCTCTTTGATGCTATGTATGAAGCATCACCAGCTGTTGCAAAACCTACTCATATTCAGTGATTACGCACTTGTGACTAAGTAGCCTATAGCTGTCACAATGTAATTGTTTCTCTCTCTCTCCTCTCTCGTCTCTCCCTCTCTCTCACCCTTCTCCCACGAAGATCCTCAAACTCCACACGTGCGCCTTCTCGATCTCCTCTCATGCTCATCATCTCTGCTCTCTCCTGCCGCCTTCCCTCTCTCCTCTCTCTCTCATTCCCCTCATCTGCCATCTCTCGTCTTCTCGTCTCTCTCTCTCTCTCTCTCTCTCTCTCTTCTCATCTCTCTCAGTCTCGTCTGCGGGTCACCTCCCTCTACTTTCTCCCTCCCTCTCTCTCGGCTAGTCCGTCGTATCTCTCTCTCCTCTGCTCTCTCTCGGTCTCTCTCAGTCTGCTCGCTCTCTGCTCAAAAAGTATCAGTGTCGTCTCTCTCTCCTGACCCCTCTCTCCTCCCTCTCTCGTCTCTCTTGGCAAATTGTGGTGGCCAAGATACGTAGAATACATACAATTTCCGACCATTAGAAGGACGTCAATGGATTCACTCCGCCTCTCTTCGCTCCCTCTCTTCATTGGTCTCTCTCTCGAGTCTCTCTCTCTCCCCCCTACCGTCTCTCTCCCCTCCCGCTGCGACCGGGCGGTCTACGAGTCCTAGGCAAATGGCTACTGTCAAAGGGCACGGCTCCGCCACGGGCAAGGTCTCCTGTCAGGAGAGCCAACCTCGTGGGGAGGCTATCTCAGCTTCTCCAAGGTTCAGCTGCTCTTACACACAGGGATCAAAGAGGTCAAGGAGCGAAATAATTTCCCATGCGGAAGGGTCGCTGCAAGTCGGGTCTGCTTCTCTCCCATACCCTGCATCATTTCTCTCTCGTCTCTGACCTTCCCCCTACCTCTTCTCTCGATCGTGCTCGGTATCTCGTCTCTCTCTATCCCATGTCTCTACCCCCTCTGCTCTCTCTCTTTATTTCCAGTCTCCCCTCATCTCTTCCATCGCTGCACGCTGCTCAGGGTTTCTCTCTCTCCTCGCTGCCTCTCTTCCTCGTCTTTCTCCTCTGCTCTCTCGCTCATCGCGGGGATGGGATGCAGGTCTCTAGTCGTCAGTTCCATTCTCTCTACTCTCCAGATACGTCTCGGTCTCGCCGGGGACTCAGTCATCTCTATTCTCTCTCTCTAACTCTCCGACTCTCTCTATCCATCAGTGGTCTGTGACGGCTGTATACCATTATGCATGTCAATGGCTCCTCCACACCGCCCTGCCAGGGCTGGGTACCATTATGCATGTCATATCTTCTCAGCACTGCCATTTCAGCCATCCATGCCAAGAGAGGGGGCTGGGTTTGTGTACTGACCAAGGAGATAGCATAAATATCCCTGTTAAGGAGAGAGAGTCCACACTTATCCTCGTCAAACACAGACGTTACTCACTGGGGCCAGAGTCTGGAGTCTATTGGCCATTACCCCATAGTCAAGTACCCAGAGCTTGGAACCCGTAATCTATTCTAGAACCTATAGAACAGGAGCCCAGAGAGTGTCAGGCAGACAATATATCAGTCCATACAGTGGGGGAAAAAAGTATTTAGTCAGCCACCAATTGTGCAAGTTCTCCCACTTAAAAAGATGAGAGAGGCCTGTAATTTTCATCATAGGTACACGTCAACTATGACAGACAAAATGAGATTTTCTTTCTCCAGAAGATAAGTATTTGGTCACGTACAAACAAGCAAGATTTCTGGATCTCACAGACCTGTAATGTCTTCTTTAAGAGGCTCCTCTGTCCTCCACTCGTTACCTGTATTAATGGCACCTGTTTGAACTTGTTATCAGTATAAAAGACACCTGTCCACAACCTCAAACAGTCACACTCCAAACTCCACTATGGCCAAGACCAAAGAGCTGTCAAAGGACACCAGAAACAAAATTGTAGACCTGCACCAGGCTGGGAAGACTGAATCTGCAATAGGTAAGCAGCTTGGTTTGAAGAAATCAACTGTGGGAGCAATTATTAGGAAATGGAAGACATACAAGACCACTGATAATCTCCCTCGATCTGGGGCTCCACGCAAGATCTCACCCCGTGGGGTCAAAATGATCACAAGAACGGTGAGCAAAAATCCCAGAACCACACGGGGGGACCTAGTGAATGACCTGCAGAGAGCTGGGACCAAAGTAACAAAGCCTACCATCAGTAACACACTACGCCGCCAGGGACTCAAATCCTGCAGTGCCAGATGTGTCCCCCTGCTTAAGCCAGTACATGTCCAGGCCCGTCTGAAGTTTGCTAGAGTGCATTTGGATGATCCAGAAGAGGATTGGGAGAATGTCATATGGTCAGATGAAACCAAAATATAACTTTTTGGTTAAAAAACTCAACTCGTCGTGTTTGGAGGACAAAGAATGCTGAGTTGCATCCAAAGAACACCATACCTACTGTGAAGCATGGGGGTGGAAACATCATGCTTTGGGGCTGTTTTTCTGCAAAGGGACCAGGACGACTGATCCGTGTATAGGAAAGAATGAATGGGGCCATGTATCGTGAGATTTTGAGTGAAAACCTCCTTCCATCAGCAAGGGCATTGAAGATGAAACTTGGCTGGGTCTTTCAGCATGACAATGATCCCAAACACACAGCCCGGGCAACGAAGGAGTGGCTTCGTAAGAAGCATTTCAAAGTCCTGGAGTGGCCTAGCCAGTCTCCAGATCTCAACCCCATAGAAAATCTTTGGAGGGAGTTGAAAGTCCGTGTTGCCCTGCAACAGCCCCAAAACATCACTGCTCTAGAGGAGATCTGCATGGAGGAATGGGCCAAAATACCAGCAACAGTGTGTGAAAACCTTGTGAAGACTTACAGAAAACGTTTGACCTGTGTCATTGCCAACAAAGGGTATATAACAAAACTTTTGTTATTGACCAAATACTTATTTTCCACCATAATTTGCAAATAAATTCATTAAAAATCCTACAATGTGATCTTCTGGAGAAAGAAAATCTCATTTTGTCTGTCATAGTTGACGTGTACCTATGATGAAAATTACAGGCCTCTCTCATCTTTTTAAGTGGGAGAACTTGCACAATTGGTGGCTGACTAAATACTTTTTTTTCCCCACTGTATATCTATGGTGTAATTTAGGGTTGTAAAATTCTGGTAAGTTTCCCAAAATTCCCAGGTTTTCCAAAAATCTAGGTTGGACAATTCCGGATTTCCTATTTATTTCCCTCTGATTCCGGGAATCTTCCAACCCGGTATTCTGGAAAACCTGGAAATGTTTTGGAAAGTTACCGGAATTTTACAACAATAAGACAGCCTGCGCACACTGAAGAACCTCTGAGTTCAGCAGGCCAGCTAAGGAAGATCTCTGGAGTTCAGCAGGCCAGCTAAAGAAGATCTCTGGATTTCAGCAGGCCAGCTAAAGAAGATCTCTGGATTTCAGCAGGCCAGCTAAAGAAGATTTCTGAAGTTCAATGCTTTTGTGTTCTGAATGAGTGAACCCAATCCTTCCCTTCACAGTTTGATTGACAAATTAATTGACAAATGGACGTATTAATTACAAGTCACAGCTGGCAGCCACTGAGCTGGAGTCAGCCCAGGGTTCACTGAGTGTAAACAAATAGCTTTAGATTATTTTCTGTTCAATACCTCATTCTACAACCACTGTGTTCAGTGTTCAATACCTCATGCTACAACCACTATGTTCAGTGTTCAATACCTCATTCTACAACCACTATGTTCAGTGTTCAATACTTCATTCTACAACCACTATGTTCAGTGTTCAATACCTCATTCTACAACCACTGTGTTCAGTGTTCAATACCTCATTCTACAACCACTATGTTCAGTGTTCAATACCTCATTCTACAACCACTATGTTCAGTGTTCAATACCTCATGCTACAACCACTGTGTTCAGTGTTAATTGACTTATGGGACTTAATCCTAGGAGTAAAGGATGAAGGCTACTACTGCGAGGAAAAGATAGGAAAGGATATAGAGAGAGTCAAAGAGAGAGAGAGAGGGAGAGAGAGCGAGAGAGAGAGAGAGCGATAGACAAAGAGATGGAGAGAGTGAGAGAGAGACAGCGAGAGAGAGATAGACAAAGAGAGGGAGAGAGAGTGAGACAGAGAGAGATAGACAAAGAGAGGGAGAGAGGGAGAGAGACAGAGGGAGAGAGAGAGAGAGAGAGAGAGAGAGAGAGAGAGAGAGAGAGAGAGAGAGAGAGAGAGAGAGAGAGAGAGAGAGAGAGAGAGAGAGAGAGAGGGAAAGAGAGACAGACCGGAGGACACAGAAGCTTTCCAGTAACAGCGGCCTTTAGTGAGCGAGGAGGCCCAGGAATTCTGTCAAGAACCACCTCCCCGAGGGCATCGACAAGCCTGACCATTTCCATGGTTACCACAGCACTAGCACGACAGTGGGGGATGATGATTATGATAATAATTATTTGGGGCTGCTTATATTTGTCCTGTTACACAAGTGTGTAATGAAAATGTGTTTCTTGCATATCCCAACATCCCCTGAGACACCGCCAGGAAGTGGGGTCACCATTGTACAGCGCCCCTGGAGCAATTAGGGTTAAGTGGGTTGCTCAAGGGCATAGCAACAGATTTTTCACCTTGTCGGCTCCGGTCACCGCCCACCACGATGATTATGGTGATGGTGATGGTAATGGTGATAAGGAATGATTATGGTGATGAGGCGACAGCTAGGTTAGGTTACAGACGACTGGCTTGACTTGGCTGCTTCACAGACAGACCGCTGCGCCACTCGGGAGGCCCTACAGCCAGTGTGGCCAGATGTTCAAACTTCCCCGAGGACCAGAGGCACAGACCGAACCAATCCATTCTGTCCTTGTACCCAGGCAGGCTTTGCCCTGTGGTGCTGCCTCAGGGGGTGGCTACCCCCTCTGTGGGGAGGCTGGGAGACTGGGAGATGGAGGATAAATTTACTCTGACCTTTTATGTTTAATACACTCTGGAATATAACATCTGTACACTTGGCATTTGTACAACTACAGATGTTGTGTCTTAATTTGACCCAATTCGTTGCAGGAGGAAAATAATCCTGTAGCAGGAGGATTTGAATAGCTGAAGAAATGTTTAGATTCGCCACCAGGGGACAGCTGGAAGCAGTGTTTGTATACAATGCAGTACCAAACCTATATTGTACCTTCGACTGCAGGTCCACTGGGCGCCAGTTCAAATAGCCTATGTAGGCTATGTGCAGGCTACAACTCGTCTCATTTGAAT